CTATAATATTGATGTACGTAAACGAAATATTTTGGTTCAACATAACATTTCAAGAACTTTTTATTTGTAGCTAAATAATATATCAAGTCGTATATTTCTTTTATTTTCAATAAATTTAAAATTTAAATGAAAAATATTGTTAATTTTTATTAAATCCTAAAAATTTAAAAAAAATAGGTACGCTATGTGTTTTGAAAACAAATTAGTTACATATTTTTGAAATAAGGGCAAATCAGCAAGTAATAAATTCGTAAATATAATTGTAAGATTAGATTAGGTTACAAAAATATAATGATTTTTACATCGTCGTGCCTCATTGTTTACATAATTCACCATACGACCAGAAGTGTCGGATCAGACTAGCGGTTTATCGGCGACCGATAAAAAGGCGCTACCAAACCGCAACAGCGCGCGGATTATTCCAGACAATCCAGACTAATTTCAGACGGTTCAGAGAAACGGCTAGTCTAGACCCGACAACGCGGTTTATAATTTATATATGTTAATTATAGATGTCTCGGTCGTTTACCGATCGGTTGCGTATTATCGGCAACCGAAAAAACGCTAGTCTGATCCGGCAGTAAATTATTTTAAATCATGATACTAAATTAACAACTTCCGGGAATTGATATTTTAAAATATATTTCCATTATAAAAATATACTAAAAATAATATAAATTTTAATATTATAATATAAAAAATGAAATGGCTCAAAATATTATATTTAGGCTAAATTAGAACTATAAAATATATCAGAGCAATTAATTACAATTGTCGATAAATATTGAATGTTATGGAAAAGTAATAGCTATGTATTAACAAACGTTCAACACCCACTGATAAAACACAACTATGGCTAATAGACATTAAAAATATAACCTTGTACTAAAGTTTCATTTTTAGCACCTAATCTTACAAAGTTACGAGTGGTTTTTGAAAAAAACTAATATAATAATTTTAAAATTAAAATATTGGTATATATATTCTAAAATATCAAACAATAACAAAAAATAATCCTAACTAAATTTTCCTAAATTTAATAAGTAGTTATTAGAAATTAGAATAACATAATAATAAGTTTATATTTTAAGAAGAACAAAACTTTATTTAAATATCTATTTTTTACATTCTAGCCGAGTCAGCTTACAGTAACGTGACCACACATGAGTGTAGTACAATAATGTGTAGGTTACATATTTCACCTCACTACGTGGGCGCTCTATCAGTCAGTTATGGTCACGAGAATGTGTAGACTGTAGACTGAAGAGGTAGCATAAAATCAAACAAAGTTACCTGTGAGTTGCATTCAAAAATAACATACATCATAGTAAAGAAATATAATAATTCATTGGGTAAAACTAACAAAACACCAATTTTTATAAAAAAACAAAATTCACGATTATCTGTGAATCTACCATAAATGGTTCAGTCATCCAGTATAGATATTTTGTATTTTAATGCTATTAGTAATTTATTTTTAAATTAGAAATATAGTAACTAGATTAAATTTGTTTATGACAAAAAAAATAAGTACAGTAGAATTCGTTTAAGCGCTCTCGCATAATACGATTTCCTGCGTAATACGTTCGTTTTCACGAGTCCCTTGATTTTGATAGCGGTTAACATGTAAATGAATGCGGATATTACGTTTTGTATACTCGGATAAGACGCTCTATGTTAATGATGTTATAAAATGAATAATCACAATAATGTACAATATGGTTATTGATTCAATAAGGCGTCGCAACTTAGTATACACTATGATGTGTACATACTACATACCAACATACCATACGATAAGGATGAGCTATTAATCACTTGTTATCTCTCCGCAACAAATGCGCTTGATAATGTACAGGAACTAAGAAGATTAACTACATCTTTTGACAATGCAGATGAAACACTGCAAAATCTTAATAAAATGGAAAACTTCCACTATTCAAGAATATTAAAAATGCAAAACAAACAATTGATACTTTTTTTTAATGTAAAATAAAATATGTAGTTTATAGGTACCTATGTATGCATTATTATACTAAACTTATAATAATAATACAATATAAATGCAATTATAATAAAAATTCAAAATTTGATGTACAATTTTTATTTGTCAATTTTGTGGTTTTCTCGGGTAATACGTTATTTTTACCTGGTCTCTTATAAAACGTCTTACAACGGATTCTACTGTACTAAAAATATTGCGTAACATCGTAATTTAAAACATTTAAAAAAAAATTTGTAAATGAATATTTTTAATATCTTTTGGTTTCTGTAAAAATTAAAAGAAACATGAATTAAATTTGATACAATATACCCAATAAATGGTTCTTGCAACATTTGAACCTCAATCGCTCATAAAAAATTATTGTGACAAAGGCCTTATTTATTTTTTTAAATTTTCAGTCAGTAAATAAACTTATGAGAAATTTTAAATCAAATTTTTAAACTCTAGATGATGAAATAATATTTATGAATTTTAAATTACTAAATTATTTGCAATTTTGATGAATTTTGTAAAATGTTGAACTTTTATGCTTATAAAAAACTTGTAATTGTGTTTAAATTTTTTTTTATTTTGTATACATGTCAAATATTTATAAATAGCACATAAATCAGTCAACAAATTTGAAATGGTATTATAATCAGTAATAAAAATATAAAATTGGATATGCATACTCACAAGCACAAACTTAATTCAATATGCTACCAGGAGTCCAGGAACCACATTTAAATTTTAAGTTTGGATTTATTAATTGATGTTTTTCTACTTTAACAAGTGTATAGATATAAAATTAAAAAAAACAAAATTAATTGAATACACTCATCACTCTACTTTGATCTAAAATTTATTTATTTTTTTTTAAGTTAAAATTTATTTAATTACATTATTTTAATAATTATTTTTCAAAAATAGATAAATTTAGTTTGGATACTTAAATACAAACGTATCAATAAGGTATAATAGAATACAATTTTGTTTGTAGAAAACATTTAAGTCAAAACTTTAAATATCAAACAAAAAATATTTTCTATATTCAACAATCTAAATAATAGGTATGAATAAAAATACCATATTACAGGCAAACATTAAATATATAAAAACTTAAAATTATTTAAAATATATATTTTTAATTAAGTTTGACAATCATGCTAATAAAATTATTTACAAAACATTTAACTACAAAATACGATTGCCGTTTTTCAATAATTCAAATATGCAAAATACAAAAATAAATTTAATTTAATGATAAGGTTAATATTATGTTTGAATTATGCAGGTATGTAATTTATTAAATCTAATAATATCTAGTGTAGTATAATTTAAGGCTGTATATTGGCTAGAAAGACTCATTCTAGCCATTAGGATTACATTCAGTTTTAATTGTTCAGGACAGGTTGATCCACTCAAAAATAATTGTTGAAACAGATCAAGTTAAACTTCATTTATAATTCAATGTGTACCAAGCTAAAAATTAAATTCCCCAAGATGATTTTGTTTAAAATTAATTAAAATTTTAATCAAACAAAAAAAAATACAAATTGTTTTAAATAAAAATGATAATATAATATTTTTGAGGGACATATATTTTACAAACAAACCTATTAATAAAATTAAAATTTCATGATAAAAATTACAAAAAGCATTAGTAATAGGTTCTGGCTTAAAATTCAAACATAGTTGATTGAACCAGCTCTATACTAAAAATTTTAATTTTTGATGGGCTAGGGATATGATATTTAAACAACTTTTTATGACTATAAAAGGTTCAAGTACAGTTCAAGATTTTCATTTTTTTTTTTTTTAAATTAACCAAACCTTGATTATAATGCTAAATTTAATCATTATAATTTAAATAGTAAAAAATACCATTAAAATAACATTTTAAAATCAAATATTTAAAAAATAAAATGAAATATTTTTTTTTCTAATATTAGAAGAGACTATAAAATACCATAGAAAAATTTTCAAAACTTAATTTTAAATAAATAAGTAAAAAGAAAACAAAAATAGGAGATCTAAATCAATTAATTTATTTTAATATAAAATGAAAAATTGATGTTTAAAAATAATAAATTAAAATATAAATACAGAACTTCCTATTTGATTTATAAAGCAATGTGATATTCTGAATTTCTACTAAAACTTCAGTTTTTTACATAAAAAAATATAAACAAATTAAAATAATTTTTAAATAACTGTTCAATATAATTAATATATTATGATATATAAATATAAATGTTTATATTTTTTTTAATTTATAACATTATATTTGTTTAGCAAGTCTATTCCTTGTTTAGATTGGACAAATTATAGTGTTCACTCTCTTTCAAGATAATCAGTAGCCTAGAAAAAGAGAACACAAGTGGCCAAATTTGTGATTATAGCGCTATATGTTAGCACCTAATCTAATTCTGTTATTCTGTATTTTCTTTTAAATTAATTGTCACAAATTTCATAAATATACTTGAAATTTATTTTATATTATGGCTATATTACCAACAATTTTTAATAAACAATTTATATAGCTATAAGACTTGTTTACTTGAAACTTATTAAAGTTTATTATATTCAATGTAATTTTATATCAGTACATATTAAAAATGTAAGTAAAAAATATTCATTCATTTATATCACGTTTTACACTTGTAAACCAAACTTTGAACAACTGTCAAAATGTAATAGCACCAATGGACAGTTATAGTATAGCGTTAAATAAATACACAAAATCCACTTAAATAGAAACAACTCAAAAATTTGATTTTTTTAACTTTAAAATTAGAATTTTATGTTTAATACTTATAATACTATAATATGACATAATTTTTTTTTTAATGGATTTTATAAAATAAAAAATGTTATAAGTTTTAATTACTGGAGTTCAATATATAAACTCAGAACAAATATTTCAATAATAATTGTATATTACATTATTGTAAGATGTTGAAAGAATATCAACACTTAAATTATTCATTTTTTATTATAAATAAAGTTATATTACTTTCATCAGTCTGAGGAGCAGATAAAATTGCACTATGTTTTTTCTTCACTTCTTCCACATTTGCTTGAATCTTATCTATCATCCCTCGGATACCCTCCACCTATAAGATAAATAGTTTTTAATTTAATAAATTCACATTTATCTTACATGACAAATATATATATACACTAATAAAACTAATTTATTTTAAAAATAACCTCAAGCTTAAAATCGCACAATAAAGGTTTGTAAATTGATTTCATTGTAGTAAAATTCTAATTTTTATAACACAAAAATGAACATTTTCTGGGCAGAATAAATTACAAACTGATATAATTATCTACAATAATTAAAGAAGTTTTATCTGTAAATAGGTTAATCTTTTATTTGACTAATTAATATTATCATAAAGTACTTGTACAGAACTTATGGTTTTTAAGATTTTAATAAGTATTGAACTACTTTTATTTATGTAGTAAAAATCAAGAATAATCATTTTTGAATCTTTGTAATAATTATTTTATTAAAATTAAATGAGTAATAAATAAATCATTAATGTTTTAAATTATTAATAATTTACTATTATTACAAATTTATACTGCATAATACAAGTAAGTACCTAAATAATACATTAAATAACATAACATAATTACTCATAGTTCATAGAATTAAGTAATTGCATTTTATTTCATAAATATATATAATAGAAATATGGTTAAATTAATAGGACTTAAATTTATCACTGAAAATTATTTTTAGTAGTTTTTAATAATATGTTTTTTTGACAGTAGTCTGTAAGAAAATTTTAAAACACACACTTATAAAGGCACTATGGATTACAATTAACAGTTTTTAATTAAATAATTTTTAAAATATGATAATTGTTATATTTAATATGTTGAGTACCTTGATTAACAAAGAGTCAACATCTATTACATTACCTTAATTAGATATCAAGATAATGCTTCATTTTTATAAATAATTATTCAGTGATTTTTATTGTTATGCTAGATCTAACATTGATATAGTTTCTGATATATGAGCAATACCCATCAAATACTAAAAGGCAGTAGACTAGTTAAATTAATATAAAAACTATATAAGAACTTAAGAACAATAAATTACTTTTATTATTTCATTTATTTTATCTTTCTGACTACACGCAAGTATGCAACATAGCAAGGTTGTACTCAGCAAAATTAATATTATGTTGTTTGGTTTATTAAGTAAAATATTAAAACAATCATAACATTCATAACTAATTTTAAAATTAAAATATCAATATAAGTCTATGAGATGCTCTAGATAATTTTCTCGCCTTTAAATTTAATAAAAAGTCAATACACCTCAATATTAAAGCTAACACATTTGGTTTTGCTGAACACAAATTTTGTACATTGAGCAAAGGTTGAAGAAAAAAATCAAATAGTGTACTAATATCTTCTTAATAAATAATATAAATAAACATCTATAATAATAGATTAGTAGACTTTAAAATATAAATCCATTATTAAACTTGATATTGATGTTTTAAGTTTAAATTTTTAGTATTTTGTGTTTTAAAATCCGAGGTACAACTAAAATTAAAAATTTATTAATTTCAACAAATATCTATAAGATTACTGAATTTGACTTTTCTGAAAAATTAAGATAAAGTATGTGTTTCAAATAAATACAATGTAATGAGAAAAAAACTTGGTAACAGTGAAATAAATAATGGTTCAATCTTAAAAATTAAGTCATTGTCCAAAATTAATACTGTTCAACTTTATTTTTATAAATTAAAATGATATGAAATATATTTTTTTTATTATTATTACATTACATTGATTCACTGATTAATGAAAATTTAAAGAATATCAATATATTTATTGAAATTTACTACAAGAAAATAATTAAGGATTTTTAAATTGTTTTAACCATTTGATTTCATAACTAATCTATTTTTTTAAACAATTGAAATAAGTAATAACGCTAGTTAACAAGTACCAAAGTTTTTACTATTATTTAATGAATTTGAAATTGTTTTTAACTGTAACTATTTATAATAACGCGCCAAGTGGTATATATTACACTAATGAAATTGAAGCGCGGGGATAGGTATGAACTTCAATTTTTTTTTTTTATATAATTATAAATTAAAAATAATTTGATTTTTTTAGTTAAATAATGATCTGTTTTGATCTATTGTTTTCATTTATTACAATAAAAATATTTACCTCTTCAAAAAACTTATCCATAAATCCCGCTCCCGATCCATCTTGCCGACCCTCCAAATTGACAGCCAAATCATCAGTGCCTCCTTCTTCATCATCACTTTGAGCCTAAAATAAACATATTTTATAAGTACAATATTTAATAATAACAACTTGTGAAATTAAAAAAAAAAAAAAATACTATTAATTAAATTGAAATTTTTAAAGTAATTTTTATCCTTTAAACATTTGTAGTTTAGTTTTATATAATAATTATAAAATAGTGAAGATACTTAACATAAATTCAGATCACAAAGGTTTTAATAAAATAGTGAGTAATCATAGAATGATAATATAATAAGTATGTACATACATCGGTTGTTTTGGGTCAAAATTGTAGTTTTTTTTTTTTTTAATTATTATTTATTACAAATATTAAATAATCTGGTATAATATCTTATCATAATACTATAGTGAAGTTAGAAATAAATATTTATTTTTAAATTTTAAAATGATTTATAAATAAAAAATTAAATATACCTTTAATCAATAGACGGTTATAATGAGAATTAAAACATAAATATAATTCAAAATTTTCAATAACTAGTTTTTAAAAAGTTAAAACAAGCCCCACAACATTTTTTTGCACTTATTTGTTGTTGCACCACTACCATGCCATATAAAACTTATTACCTCGTCACTGAATAATCATCTGTAGTACAATATTTTTTATATATAATTACAAGACTTTCAAATAATTGTAAATAATGATAATGAATAGTTTGAAATTAATCATAGGCATAGTAATTAATCAATATTTTACAATAATTAAATATATAATAATAAGAATATTTCACAAAGATCCTTAAATTTCACATATTATTTATTTTAACAATAATTTTTGTTATAAAAATGTAATATCCGTATTCAACATTGAATGGAAATAACTCATTAAAATTAATCTTAAGCAATATTTTAAAATAAACTAGCAACATTTGTAAGATATATATGCATTTTAAATAGCATGTATAATATATAACAATGAATTGATGACATACTAACATAATTAAAATGTAGTAAAATACAATTTAAAATATTATGAGAAGTTATTACTCTTTTTCTTTAAATAGATCATATAATAGACTAATTTATTTGTATATCATAGAGATACAGCGAAATATTGAAGTTTTAAATTTTAAACATAAGGTGATAAATTTAATATGGGTTGATGGCAAGAAAATAGGAAACAAATACACTTTTTTTATGTACTTACAACAATCATCATAAAGTTAAAATGATACTGTTTGTTTTAACTATCTGAACAAAATCATTAACGATTTTCAGTTTTTAGTTAGATACCTAAGTTTAGTATTTTAATAGGGTCATCATAATATCATATACTTATTGTCTTTAAATAGAATAGAACTAAAAAAAATTACTAAAACCTATATTTCAGTTACTTAATAGTACATAAATAATATAATGATTATAAACCTAATTATTATATTATTATTGAATGATTAATAATAATCTTTTGAAAAAATAATACTTAAATTATTTTTTGCCATTAGAAAAATACAAAAATAATATATTATTTAAAATGAAGATAATCATTATTAATTATGAATTATAAATAGATATATACAAAATAGCAAAAGTTCATTCACTCATTAATTTTTAACTACATACCTAATTCTTCAATTGAAAAAAAAAATTTAAATACATAACAGATAGTAGTTATCAATAATAAAATAATAAAATATACATAAATTTTACGTATACTCAGTCTCAAAATTGAGTGCTTCTGTGGCACGTCTCGGTTTAAACCGTCTGATAACCATAATAAGTATTTAGTTAAATGGGCAAATCGTTATTAGATTTTAAGTTGTAGATAATGATAAAACTCTTATACTAAATTTACATGGTTAAGAATCTCTACAACATAAAATTACCACCAATATGATAAATAATTTTTTTTAACTCATACCGCTTTTAAAGCCGCTAGCCTGTCTTTAGCCATTATTTACAGTATGGAAACGCGAAATAGATACACAGACTAGCCGAAAACAATTGGGTCTCATAAACGCGTCATAGGGTAAAAACGGTGAAACAGACTCAAGTATAAATAACACTATTGTAAAAATTAAAAAAATTAACCGAGAAAAACAATAAAAAATTAACTTTTATAATATTAAACTCCGAACGTGCGGAAAACTCGAAAAAGGGACGAGATAAAAATCAATACATACTTCCTAACTACAGCACTGTCAGCGGCAGACCTGCGAGTGAAATATTGCGCGGCTGCGCGTACCGTGGACCAAAAAACGAATCTATACCAGTCTAGCCAACACAAAAAGTTAGCGCCTTTCGATAATATTGATTAACATTTTTCAATATATTTAGTCATTCCACCTCAGGGCTCATATAATAAAATTATTGTAATATTGTATTATTATAAAAGATTAAGTATTGTTTAATAAATTTAAAAAAAATTACTTTTTGAAAGAATTATTTTATTATTATTATTATTATTGTTATTTAAATAAGAGTGTCTCTTTGCCATTTTATTAGGTTCTGGGTTAATATGAAATATTTTGTTGTGTCGGATAGTTACGTCTTTTACTGTTGAGATTTGTAGATAGTTATGTAGAGCATTGTTTATCATGGACCTTGAGGTTCCAGTGATTTATCTAAGACATAATAGTTGAAAAATTTATTGATCTTACACTAGAGGGTTTGAAAGATCTGAATACCGTACATCATCAGAGCCTCAGAGGGCTAAAGAAATTAATAAGATAATCACACCTAACTAATTTAACATGGATATCTACGTAAATATACGTTGTTACTTTTAATAGAACATAAAACACACAACAACGTGTTAAAAGTTGAAAGTTAAAACCGTCAGGTCATTTTATACTGTAATTTTACAGCACTATATCCGTTGTCTGTTACTATAAAATTTATAGTGTATATAGGTAGTGTGTATCTACCTATATTTTTAAATTAATTAACTTCAATAAATATAGAATACCAACAACAACAAAAACGAGTTTATCTGCAATATATATTATAACTGTTATGCTATAAAGTATATTTAAGTCTAAACAAATACTTAAATAGGTATACCTACATGTATACTGTATACTATGTAGGAAACTAGGAAATACCTACCTACCTGACTAAAATTCAATCCAAATAAGTAATACCTAATGAAATTTAAAAATAAGTTTATACTTAAATAGAAAAATACCAAACTTCAAAATCATTAAATAATATTAATAATAACATGTGAGCATATAATAATTTATACTTAAAGCTTGTATAATTGAATAAATAGATACCTACATTTTAAGTACATTTTCTATAAGTAAGCACTAAGGAATGATAGTTGTAAGAATAAAAAAAATTATTTTCTGCTATTTCAAAAAAAAAAAAAAACAAATTATTCGATATGAAATATTAATTTGAAAATAGTGATCTGTGAGGTTCGAGATTTAAAAGAAAAAGTCTATTAATATTAACTATTTCAATGTGTGTTGAAAAAAGCCCCTCTCATTTTTTTTAGATAATCATTCTTAAATCAATATTTAATTACCTAATAAAAAATGGTTAGAATTTTAAAAAAATAATTTGAAATTGATATATTGTAATAAACATTAAATATACAAACATATTTTCTAAAAATTAATATTAATGTATAATAAAATATATAATCAATTATAATTATTATTGTACTTGAACATTTTTAGAACATTCATACCAATAGAAACTATGATTTGATAATATGATACAGTTGTATTATAACAGCAAACGTATAGATAATTTGTTAATATTAACTGCAAAAAAACTATTTGTCATGTTCAATATCGAACTTTAATTTAGAGAAAATAAAATTAATTGTAGATATTAAATATATCCAAATTTATATATTTTTTTGTCTGTCTCTAATGCCTCTTGTTATAGGTACTGATTTCTTCTAATATATGCAATAGATCTTTCTCTGCTGGTAACAGGTACGAGAAATATAAAAAAAATCGTTCCATCTATATATCAGGTAGGTTTTCTAATGTTTCTCTTAATTATGCATAAAAAGACATTTATTCTGGTCTTAAAAATAAAAAAATTAATTTGCTGTCTAATCATCGTTTACAGTTATACAAAAAATAAATTTATTTAAAACACTATATGTTATATTTTTTAAATTTTATGTTTTCACAAATTATATAGTAAAATAGTTAACATATCGTTATTTATATCATTTAAAAAAGTAATTTCATTCAAATTGAAATTTAAATAGTCCCCATATCTATATGAACTATTTACACGGAATTTTAAATTAAATTTTCAAGAATTTTAACCCTGTAAATAATTTTTTATTGACATTAATTGAAAAAAAAAAACAAATTGAAAGCTTCTCATGCCTGAAATAACTGAAAAAAAATTTAAAAAAACTTTATAAATTTTATCATATAAAAGAAATTATATATAAATATTTAACAAAAATTTTAAGTATCTATTGTTTTTTTTTTTTTTTTTTTTTTTTTGAAATACAATAAAATATCAAAAATTGTTTGAGGTCAAATAATTATTTTACGGATAAATTTCGAATGTTGGAAATATTTTTAATAAATAATCATTAAAAATTAATTTGGCTGTTTTCACATATATAGGTTGAACTAGTAAATAACCTTGTATTAAATATAATATTAAGTTTAGGTAGGTATACAAAAAAAATTTAATGAATTTTTAACTACAAATAATTTACTAATTACACAATTTCTATAAATTTTGTTGGAATTTTAACTTTTATAAAAAAAATTGTAATAATAGATTTTTTTAACTTATAAGGAGCTTTGTTTTAAATTTTCAAGCATTTCTACCTAGCAAATAATATTTAATCAACATTTATAAAAAAAAAAAAAAAATTAAAATTTCTTATGCTTATAAATATTTTAAAAGTAGAAATATTTTAAAAATTCTATTGTAAGTAGTAAACAATTATATAATCATTTGATAAAAATTTCAAGTATCTATATTTTTTCGTTTGTAAGTTTCATCAAAATGAACAAATTTATGTTGTCACAAAATTTGATTTGTGTAAAAAATCCTATTTTCTCTTTCTTTTTTATTTCTTTTTTTCCAATTATGAAAATAAGTAGATACTAGGCATTTTTAGGTTTGACCTCTCTTAAGTACAAACTAGATGAAATTTGATATTCAAAACCACACTCATTTTCAAAACTCATTCATTTCTTAATTCATTCATCACTCTGCTTAGAGTTTAAATAACAGTATGAATGTTCAAATAATGGCGCTTAATAATACAAATCGCATTCACTACTACACTTATATTTTGGCGACACTGTATATATATTGACAGTTTCTGTGGCGGGTTGTGACGTGATAGCGGCATCAAAGGCGGTCTCCTACTCTCCTGACGCCATCATTCCTTGTTTGCAATCACGACTCGCGAGCGCGTTTTTTCACGTATCCGACGAAGCCGTTGGAATCCGTTACAGTTGTGCTGTACGGCATTGTCATTACTTTATTTATTTTCACCGATATTGCTTACACAAATTTATTAAACACGTAAGTAATCACATTATTTTGACATTACTAATATTGAAGGAGTATACAATTATTATCGCTTCTAGCTTAGTACATTTTACTGAGCATCTATCCCTAAACTATAATTCATAAAATCTTAGGTTATAATTTATAATTTCTCTTGAACAAATTACTATTCAACTCCCAAAACGCTTATTAATCATCTGATCTATTTTAGCTTGCATACTTCTATTAGACGAAACATTCCTTCAAAATATTTTTCTGTGAACCATGTGATTTATTTTAGTTACATAGGCGGCAAGTATCAATTGAAAATTAAAATAAATAATTCTACTAGTATTGACTGAATATTGCCACTAACATTTTTCAAATCTACATTTTAAGATATAGTTTCAAAAATCATCTTAATAATCCTTTCAAACACTTGTACTGGCTACTGAGTACTTATTTATTTGTCTATTAGGTTAGGTGTCCTTATCAAAGTAATTAATTTTTTTTTTTTTAGTCACAGAATAAAATATGAATTTTATGGTAACATTTTACTGATATGGGAGTTAATTAAAATAATATATTTGTTTAATATCTTTAATAAAAAAAAAATACATCACTCAAGTTTATTGTTAACTGATCTATAGATTGTATAATAAAAATATCTTATAACTAAAAAAACAAAAATATAAATTCAATATCTTTCAAAGTATTATTTCTTATTTAACCCATTATATCTAATTTTAACTATTAAAAATATATATATTTTCATTTTAAATATACATCGATTTTATATAGAAAACAGTAATAATGAATGTACCCGATGATGTTCCTACATTCAAATGTGTATTGGTTGGTGATGGAGGTACTGGAAAGACAACATTCGTTAAACGTCATTTGACGGGTGAATTTGAAAAAAAGTATGTGGCCACGTTGGGAGTAGAAGTACATCCGTTGGTATTCCATACTACTCGTGGTGTCATCCGATTCAATGTTTGGGATACAGCTGGTCAAGAGAAATTTGGAGGTCTCAGAGATGGATACTATATTCAAGTAATTATATGTATTGCTTATATTCTAAAAACTTATTAGGTACCTAGTTTTTTAATAACTACCTATACCTACTATATATCCTGCTGTAAATATAAAAAAAGATTATATTGCTACACATGAATATAGAATATTTCATTCATGTAAAACAAAAAAAATTTAATAAAATAACAATAAGTAATAATTACTACAATAAAAGTCTTATAATTAATTATCATAGTACAGTTACTAGTTGGAAAAATATTGGGATATGTTCAATTGATAAATGTTGGTAATTTATTGGTATGTTTTTATTTTATAGGTGTTATGTGTTACTATAAAAACCATTTATCATTATGATATGCAATTCTTTTATAATTGTATAAGTTAGATCATTTGGAATTTTAATTTAATTGTTAAAAATAAAAAAATATAGATAATTAAGTATATAATGTATAAGACTTTTTCCAATATTATTACTGTTTATCAACTTTAAATAATAAATTTATTTCATGATAAAAAATCACATTTGATGCTAAGATTCTTATTAAATGTTTTTTAGGGTCAATGTGCTATCATCATGTTTGATGTTACTAGCCGCATTACTTACAAAAATGTACCTAATTGGCATCGAGATTTAGTGAGAGTATGTGAAGGCATTCCAATTGTGCTTTGTGGTAACAAAGTGGATATCAAGGATAGAAAAGTTAAAGCTAAAACAATTGTTTTCCACCGCAAGAAGAATTTACAGGTTCTTTTAAATACTCATTTTAATAATAACAATTGATTAATCATATTGTTTTTATAGTATTACGACATTAGTGCAAAGAGTAATTACAATTTTGAAAAACCATTTTTGTGGATGGCCAGAAAATTAATTGGTGATCCCAACCTTGAATTTGTTGCAATGCCTGCTCTTGTACCTCCTGAAATTAAGATGGACCCTCAATGGCAAGATCAAATTGAACAAGACCTCAAGGTAAAAATTTAATAATTTATACGTATGTTAACAAAAACTTACAAAAAAATAATTATTTTAGGAGGCTCAAGAAACTGCATTGCCCGACGAGGATGAAGACTTGTAATTTATTAATCCCCATAATTCAATGATTTGTCTGTCTGAATTGTCTCAATTAATTGATTATCTTGCACATTAAGTTGAATCTTTTTTTATATATATACTTAATAATAAACATGGCCTGTATTTTTCCAACATACAAAAAAAACTAAAAATAGTTAATATTATTTAACTCAGAAAATCAGATAATCAATCTAATGTACAGTTTATTTATTAATTTTTTTATTGTATTTTGTAATTATGTCATAGTATGTGTGGCTTATTATGAACATTTAATTACATTCAGTAAATATCTACAGAATTATGTTTACACATTTTTATTTAAATTGAAATAATAATTCTTAAAAATTCAACAGTTTTGTAAAGGGGACAAACCAAAACTACGTATTTTAAATTAAAGTTAGTTATAATTCTTATTATTTTTTTTTACATTAAAATCAATTATCCAAATAATATAATATGGTATTACATCTATTATATATTTACATTTTTCTAATGTTATTTAATATTCCTTGAAAATCCAAGTCTACTCAAAAATATATTTGAAATTATTTAATAAATAATATGATTTACAATATCATTTTCAAATTTAACCTTTTTTAAGTCATATCTATTATAAATATATTTATTTTATTATAAATAGAAACTTTATTTTTAAGTATTTACAAAGGTCAGGTAGAACAGACTTTAAAATAACCTCAATTAGAATGATTCTATGTTAGAATGCTGTTGGAAATGTGTCATATGAAATAAAATGTTTTGATTTTCTATTGAATAATCTTAATTAGATTTACAGGTAAAAATAATATACTTACTATTAAATTAGATAAGTTTATCACATTTTAGATTTATTGCCTAATTTTTATTATTCCTTTCTGAAACATCTACTTGGTTTCTAATCTATTTCTCTTTCAAATTATTTAACAACAATTTTTCTTCTATCTTTTTCTATAACATCCAGAAGTGTAAATATTGTGTGTGAGGGAATATAACCCTCTTAATACTGTGGGGTGTACACTAACTGTTAAGAAAATTAAAATTTGTTAAAATGTAATTTTCAAATTGATAGTTAAAATATATTTTACACATTAACAATATAAATTACTTATTTAAAACAAAACGATGTATCATTAAAAATCTTAGTGTCCTGCAAAATGTATTACTACAAGTGACTAGATTAATGTTCGCTGAAGCTCAATTTTGTAAACATACCCCGGTGTTGATCATATTTATTGTTTTTTTGTTTATGACGCCCATTATAAAAATAAAAAATTTGAGATATTGCACTTACATATACAGTAATATATACTGAATAACTGACGATTAAAAACGCAACACTAGCCAAATTAAAAATATTTGAAAATTTTGTAAAAATGAGATGCCTTGAGGTGTCATCCACACATAAAAACTAAACAAACATGTTGAATAATTATTAAATAGTATTTGATTATACATTAGGATACATTTCTAATATTTCTTGTCAATTCCTTTTAGTTTATTTAAAACCACCTATCTCTTCTATATTAAAAATATGTAATTAGTATCTAATTTTTCATTTAATGAAATACTTATTATTTTAACAATTAAGTTAGATTCAAAAGGAAGTTTCAAGAATTATATTTAAATTTAGTTTACTTAAAACTTAATTTTAACTAGTAGAAAAAATTGACAGCTTTGAAACTTTCACAAAATTTAAAATATTTTCAGTATTCTGTGGATATTTTAACAAATGTATAAAGGTTACTGCTAAAGTAGTATAATGATTTATTTTCATACTTTCAACATAACAATTTGATTAATTCTAGTTAAATCAAAATTGGCTCTACCCTACATTTCAATATAATTTTTATTGTTAGGAAGAAATGTTGGATTATTAAAATATGAATACAAGCATTAGCAACTCTGCCAAAATAAAGTTTTTCAATAGTTAGGATAGTATGAACCTTACATTGTTCAAGGATAACTGCCCCTGATTAAGCCTCACCTGAATAAACTATCAGACTCCTACAATTAGAGAAACATTTTAGCAATTTAACTTTCAAATAACATTGATCTACCTTCAACAGTGACTGCCGCCATTCTTTCCAGTGTTTATTCCATTACTCATTTAATTATTGCTGCATCATCAGTATGACAGATAATAACATTACATTGTATTTACTGTCTTATAAAAATGTTGGCTATACTTATTTTCTGAAGAAAAATGTTTCGATTTATATTTATTTAAAAGCATGAATATTTATTAGTTATTACACATCTTTCATTGTACATAAAACATAAATAATAGAGATATAAGAGATCATCAAAGTATTAAAACGGTATACCAGATATGATTAATAATAATTTTAAATGTAAAAAAATAAAAAAAATAAAATAATATATTCATACTCAATACAATTTACTACTTCTCTGATAAAAAAAAAAATGAATAATATTTTATGAGAAAATCGCCAGTTGCTAAGGTAGTCTGCTGATTCTGAAAAAATAATAAATACATTAAAACTTTTTTTAATAATTTTAAATCATTATAATTTTTAATATAATACATAAAATATTCATAAACAAGGTATCATGAAATTTATTTATTGTACCAGAAATTTAAACATCCATAAACTTACACAGTTGTCTCTAGTTCACTAAAAACTGTTGTTGTGTCACATAATAATGACTCTAAATTACTTGTTTCCATCAAAACAACAATATTATCTTCACTTATGCCCGTTTTCCATATTTTAGATAATGATTTCTATGAACAAACATGAAGTTATGATTCTTATTAGATGATGTGTATGATTGTATTGGAGATGGGAACTTATTTTTTGTATGGAAATAATTAAGGCTAAGCTAAGATATTTATAGTATAAAATTATAAAAATAGAGATTTAAAAATTTTCATTATTAAAATGATCTTGTTAGTTAAAATAAGTAACATAAAAGAGTAAGTTTTTATGTTAATTTCAAAAAATATTAAGGGATAATATAAAATAAATGAGTATTAATAATAATATTTAATTAATTAATTTTTATAACTTTGAAATCTATGGCATTTAATACAATTGTATTTTTGATAAAAATAATAAAAACCTACATTTTTACAAAATAGTTTAAAGATAATAAATACAATACATTTAAATTAATTATATTATATGTTGGAATTGTAATTAATAATTAATGCCTTTTTGTTCTTGAGATTATCAATATTGACTAGATAAGAAAATATTAAATTATTTTACTCATACATTAGTAATTAGATCACTTAATAAAATTAAATAATATAAAACTTTAATTTAAGCATTTATAAACAAAAAATTGTTGTTTTTTTCAAGATAAGGATTAAGCTCATTTTTCAGTAATATAATATTATGATATATACAAACAGCAATAAAAAAAGCTAAGAACAAAATCTAAAAAGATAAATGCCTATTTTTAATTTAGCTAAACATAATATAACAATGAAATACAAGTTATAAAAGGGATCATACTTAAAATAGTAAATACTTTTTTATCATTTAAGAAATAAATGATCATAGGGAATTTATCTATTACAATAATATTATTTTTATATTTTTAAATGATTTTTATTTTAAGTAATATAAATAAATGTTAAAATTTACCTCGGTGTCTACAAGATGACCCACATCAACAAGATTAACATCATTGAACATGTTTGATATTTCATCTAAACGTTGTTGGTTTAGGTATACAGTTTTTTTTTTATCATTATTTTTTTTCCAGATTCTATAAAAATACATATTTTTATCTATTATTAACATTTTTTAATTAAATAACATATGATTTTAAATACAGTATGAGAATAAAATAAACTATTCATTGTTTTTAGTTTTTCAAAAAATTGACAAAAATAATACTTCAAAATTATTTTTTAAGTAAGCAATAATAATCTCTTCTAAATCATTATAATAATAATCTAATAAAATTGTAAATACAATAGTGAAATTGGAAAAATCATTTCACTGTGTTTCAAAAGATAAAATAAATATTTTTATGCTTGGCATGAAATATTTAAATAAAGTATATAGTAGTATCATACTTAATACAGAAATTAATTAATTTTAAGCACCGTTGAATTTTCATTTTTTAAGGAAGAAATTTATAATATAATATTAAAAGCTCCCATTTTAAAGCTATATTATATTTTACACTTGTTTATTTTTATAGATATTTTTTTGACTCCGAAAAACATTATTACCCTAATTGTATACACAATACCCACTGGCTATATTATAATTAATATAGACTGTAACAAAGTGTATTACATCAGTGATCATTCATGTAAATATGACAGGTAGGTAATGAAAAAATAATTAATCTCAAATTTCATTATAATAAATTAATCATAAATTTAATTTCAAAAATATAATAAATAATAAATATTAAATGTATATTAAGTATTTATATTTATAAATTGTACATCAATATATTATACTAACCTTGATACACGCATTCTCGATGCTTCATCACCATAAATCACTGTTATTTTATTTATATTAATGACTTTTGAGCTACAATTTTGTCCAATTAACATTTCTAACCGTTCAGGACTCATAATTATTGTTATTTCAACATTAGTAGTTTCTCCTTTTTTTAATATAAACTCGTGAGGGTGAATTATATCTTCTGATGCATTTTCTATAACATTAATTTTTATTTTTATTGCAAGTACTTAAAAAAATATAATAATTTAAATAATATGACACCTTGAATAATTTTTACAAATGCAGCAGTATTTCCAGAGTTTGTTATAGACAATTGAGATGTCATAAGTTGTGGATTTGGATATAGCCACATGTTACCAAAGTTGTCCTCAAATGGACCACGAATTACAATAACTGAATGACCACAATAGCCATATAATGAAATCTGAAATTTAAAAATAATATATTATAACAGTTACAAAGTTTAAGAGTTATACAAAATAAATTAAAAAGAAACCTCTAAGAGTGAACAACAGCAAAATGAAGAAAATTAAAATTGAAATAATGAAAGTCTGTTTTTATATAAAATAAATTTTAAAAATGTAATTTACTCTATCTTATAGTTTTTTACAATACAGAGATTGACTATTAATTTATCAATGTGAAAATCAACGGTTTTTTTTTTTTTAAAAGTTATTAATATAAAGAAAAAGATAAAAGATAATTAAAAGTATTCAGTCTAGTATTACAGTATTCTTTATCGATCTAATTTATTTTTTATTCTACATATCGTTTTAAAATTAAAATAATTATAAAAGAGGAAAAAATTATACTTAATGAAAATTAACAGAAAACTGAGCTAACTTATTCTTTTTTATACAACCTAGATTTTTTTTTTTAAGAATTAAATAATTTACAAACTAACCACACGTTTCTCATCGCTATGTTGTCTTTGTAAAATTAATTGACCGTAAGCCTGGCCTTCATTTGATGTGGATATAAGTGCAACACTGAGTTTTTGACTTTCCATTGGTTCTAATAACAATTTCATTTCTGACACTTGATTTTCACCAGAGGATATCAGCTTAAAAGTAAAAATAATCAAACATCTTATATAAAAAATAAAAATAAATTAAATATTATATAAAAACAAAATTACATACTTTAAAACAATTTTTATTATCTTTTATTCTTAAATGCAATTTTTCTTTATGTGAACCACGGTTACGTAAGGTAAATATTTGCACTGATTTAGTATTTGAAGGTACACTTCCCCATATTAAACTTGAACATGTAGATTCCAATTCCAACCTTCCAACTATTAAAATAAAATCAGTTGATAAATAAATTTAATAATTATACCTACACTATATATACCTGCACTGGATGAACTTGTACTCCAAGGAGATATAGGTCTTGAAGATGGTGAAGCTATTTGTTGAAACTCAACTAAAATATAACAAAATAACATTAAATATACTTTCAATTTTGTATAATGTAAATATAAGAATATAGATTATTACAATTGGATTCAATATAATTGACTTTAAAAAAAAATTGTTTCTGTGAAGACACAACTTGTAAACAAATACTTGTTTCACTAAAAATAAAGTAAAATAATTCATAATTAATTATTAATAAAATATTAAAATGTTGAAAAATTATATTACTTGAAAGAATTAATTGTCTTGGATGGGAAAAATACTACTTTCAATTTTACTTTTTCATTAACTGCTAATTTGAATTCATCAGGCTGAATTGTAAATTCTGCACATTGTTTATTATTTTGCTGTACAACCAAACTAATTGGAATTTCACTATTGTTGGTTATTTCTATAGTGCCATTCAACAAAAACTGCCCAGTTTTTTGCAATAATAAAGGATTTTGATCAAAAGAGATAGATGTAAGACAAACACATCCTGTTAAATTGGAACAGAATAATAATGGCGAATAATTAGTAGACAATTCTTCAACAGAATCTAAAACTACTTGAAGACGACCAGTTAGTTTGCAATTAGATTTTGAAAAATCTGCTGTGAGAATGTTCACATAACACTGCCATAATTCAGATGGATTTAGAATGGCTTTGGCCTGAATAACATCACAGTTATCCTGAAACAATTACAATGTATTATTATCTAAAAATTAGTAATTATTCTTTATAGTTTTGGTGTCTATATTTCTCATTGTTATCTTATACAATTTTACAAGCCAATAATATTCTTTAACTTTAATCAAAAAACAATTATTTATTTTTATACCATTATTATGATGTATAGGTAAGTTATAATGTATGACTTAAATAAATTTAAACAAACCTGGCTTAAAATTAATTTAATAGGAACTTGGTATGTTCCCTTATTTAATAATTTGATTGGTAAAGACTTTTGAGACAACTCTGGTAATAAGCCAAAGTCCATAGATCCAAAACTGTTATTTATCCATGCAACCTAAAAATAAAAATATTTATTTTAATGATTTGATTCAAACTTCAGCCTAATAACAAAATACCTGTGGTTCAATAGAATTAATTTGAATATTACGATAAATTTCTTGAGTTACATCATTACTTTTAAGTTGTATATAAATATTTATACTTCCAGAAATTAAAGGAATTATCCCAATCTAAAAAAAATAAACACATAAATATATATATATGTACAACTATTATAGTTTTTAGTGTCCATACAGTAAATGAAGCTTCAGACAATGGAGGTATAATGCAAGTTTTATCTGAACAAAATACAGTTGCCACATTTGATCCAATCGGTTTATTATCAACAAATTTAGAATTATTAATATGGTTAAGTGACATGTCCAATAAATGTAAAGTATATTTCGCATCAATGGTTAATCGATTTTCCAATGTAATTACAGCTTGAGAATAAGTTCCAATACATACATCACCAATTTCAAGTATTTTACTAATTTTCCCTTAGAATTAAAAAAAAAAAGGTATGACATAAAATAATAACACAAAAATTAATTTTCTTTATCCTAAAAATGTATGTTTTACTAAAGAATATTTTTTGTGAAATGGAAAATCCAGACCAAAAAAAAATGATAATTATCAGTATTATTTAAAATGACTGTTAAATACAAATTTATCTATCATTTAAATTATAATTATAATAATTTTTAAATATGATTTATCATTGTAAAAATATATTTTTTTAATTGTATTTTAATGAAAAAAAATAATTTAACTAACTGTAATCTTGAACATTTGACTGATTCAATTTATCTTGATGTATAGCTTCATTGCAAAAGACAACTTTAGAAATATTAGTAGATTTATTAAAAGACATATCAGTCAGAACTTCATGATTATTAGTTAAAATAGAAAAATTTGAAAGATCAATATTGTTTTCAGATATTTCTGATGTTCCCAAAGTGCAATCTTCAAAATATCCACTTTTAGATGTTAAAAAAAATTTACAGCTATTATTTATTTGTGTCTTTGTCTGTTTCCTAAAACATTTAAATAAATTACAAATTAAATGTTACACTTAAGATAGTACTTATTTGTGCAGTAAATTTACTTGTTAAGATTATTGGATAAATTAAACTTGTTTGATGTATACTGATTTGAAGTATTAATGCATACTTCATTTTTTCCGTTATTATCTTCAAAATTTGTTTCCGAATTAATACTTTTATTCAATTCTATAGTTGTTTCATGGGTATTAGTAATATTTTTTTGAGGAGAAATAAAACTTAAATTGTCTAAAGATTGAAAACCTAAAAAATTAAAACATAATCTATATGTTATGTAAAAAAAAAAAAAATACATCAAAGAGAAAATTAAATAGAAATTTACATAGTTCTGCATGCTCAAGATTTTGCGAAGCATAAGAAAATCTAGTGGAAGTAGATAATCGTCTTTGAGGAAACTTATAAGATTCATTCAACTGTCTATCATCAGACAAATCTAAATTTACAAGAAATGAGATATTTAAGTTAATTTTTTTTTTTTTAAATGCATTATTTACATTTTTAACATATATTTTATGTGTATAAAATATAAATATATGTTACCTTCAAAGCTCGATCATTAGTTAAGCTTAAACTATAAAAAAAAAAATGCTAATAATTATAAGTTAATAATAAAAACCACTTGTAATTTTTAGGAATTTACTAAAAATGTTTTATAATATATTTTTAAACAAATAATTTACTATTTTTTAGATAGGCTTAATTATGAATTATGATGAATTAATTACATAATTTTAATTAAAAATAAAATTTGTTGAAAATGGATTTTTGTTATGTTTATTCAATCTATAAATATTAGTATTAGTAAATTATGAGCAAGAAATCTTCAGTCTTAAGACTATTAACAAATGTATCAATTTACAATTAAGATTGAAATTATAAAAAAATTACAATACAACTAGACATTTAAGATAAGCTAAGTACATAAAAATGATTTTTTATTTATGGTGAATTAACATTGTTTGTGTTTGATTCTATAACTTTGAAAAACAGAAAGTGAAACAATTAAATTATCATGAAATCAATATTTATTATTAATAGACATTATTTTCCTTTAAAAAAATTTTGAATTAAAAATTTAAAAATTAACAATTGTTAAGTCTTCAAATTTATAACTCTCGTGATATTTAAATTTTATAAAAAGCATTCCTATTTTTCTATATATAAAACAACAAAATTATCAATTATATTAAGTTGATAATTTTCATATTATTAAATTATAACTTTCCTCTAACATATAAATAATACATTCCAAAGTTGCAAAGCAATAAGAATAAAATAAAAGCATAATATATAATATTATTTTATAATCTACAGAAGAATTAGTAAGCAATATTTCTAAAGTACATAAATTATTAAAGCAATTTTCAAACCTCCTGATAGCAATGCTTCAGTTAATTCTTTTGGATTAGCTGAATTTGTTTTAGATGTTAATACTTCAGAAATATCAGACAAACTTGTTAAATTTAACAAATTATTGGATACATGACTGTCAGTCCAAGAAGTAATTGAGGACATTGTTTTGTAGCCTATGTTTGCTTGTTGATCTGAATAGTCAATAAATAGTATAAATTATTTAGGAAAGATAGTTGATTACAAAATGTAATTATAAATTACCTTCTGGGTTATTTTTGACATTACTAGGAACTAAAAACGAACAATGATTTCCTTTTAACTCTTTTTTAAATGTTTCATTGCAGTTTTTTTGTTTAGGAAAAATTGCAGATAAGTCTTCAACAGGTATACTTTTAGCAGCAAAGTAATTAGCTGCAAACGATGCATTTTCATTTGACTGCCTATAATATTAATGTATTATATATATATTTATATAATTAGCAATACGTTATTACTGAACTTCTGATAAGCATTATCACAGTAATAAGTCAACAATATATCTAAAAAAAAAAAAATTCAATTTTATAATTATAAATACTCATTACTTTTCTCCTTCCAAAGAAAAATCAAAACGACTTTCAGATAATGATCCAAATTCTCTACGATTAATTTCTTCAGTTTCAGCTAATTTTTCTTTAAAGTCACTACCACATATAAAATCATCACTAGAAAATGAACTATTGGAATTAATAAAATCTCCTCTCAACCTAAATCAATTTAATTTATTTGTAATTTAATGGATACATTTAAAAATAATGTCTAATTTATAACTAACATATCATTGAATGCATTGGTTACATTTGTTAAAGATGTCCTGGCATTCTGCTCACTGACTTCATTTTCTTTAAACAAAAAATTAATATATTACAATGGAATTGAAACCGGGAAAAATATATATTTACTATTAATAATATTTCTTATGGAACTTGCTCTAGCAAGAGTGTTTCTAGCTTGAGTAGCTTGACTTAAACGACGTTGCAGAGCAGTTTGATTATTATGAATATTATATTGAAATGATTCTCTTTTGTATGAATGACCAATATCTAGAAGTTATAGAAATATTAACAAATGTCAAACTACTAAGTAACTTTTATTATTATTACCAGACATATTATCTAATTCAAGAATTCCCAAAGAAGATTGTCCACCAAATGATGAATACATACTTTCCATCTGTGCATTTTTTTTATTACTTGACATTTCTGATAAGGTTTTTGTTCCTAAATTACTATCAGTCAATTCATCAGAAAACGCTGAACCAAATGTTTCATCACTTCTAGTATTTCTAAGGTAATTTCTTAGAGACCTAGAAAATATAAAATATAGTTTTAAGTAATTTAATAACTAATTGCATTTAATTGTTGAAATTTAATACAATCTATTTTTTAATTGATTTTAAATGTCAACTTTGTTTTAATAGCTATTAATTATGAATAGAACATGAAATTATTGCATTTGCGTCTTTTTTTTCGCATGCTCATATTCATCACTAATCGATACTTTTTTTATTATTATTACAATAAAATACTTTTTTTTATTTTCGTGCAATTTTAATACAATTTTTAAATATTTAAGTCAATGATACATAATGTAAAAATTAATTAAACATAACAGTGCAGTACACGTTTCTATTATATCTGTTGAAATATTTTTATTTTTGAATTTAAAAATAAAGTAAGTAAAATGATTTCAGAAGATTGTTGTTCGAAGCAATGATCTAGTTTACTTCTAATGTTTCTATTATAACTTTTAAAATTGAAAAGAGTTTCTTCAGAAATTATAATATATATTGTGCTATAACTAACAATCTGTTTCCTTAAAAAACTTAAAAATCTCTTGTTGTATAATGTAATAAGGTAAACAATATTTATATATACTTTTTTAAATATTTAAAAGAAATTATGCAAACTGAATGTGTTTTTTAATGCAATTACTTCATTGCCTTAGTTACTACCTATTACAGTTCTATATATAATTAACCAAATATTCTAATAAAAATTGTATACTTAATAGTATAAAATATATTAAAGTTTTTAAATAAATATGTTGTAGTGTTTTATCCCATTTCCATAGATTTAATGGCATGGTATATTGGTATGTATATAAACAGTTTTGATACATATTTGAGTCCATTTAAAAACTAATTAACATGTTAATTGCCATGTGACCACTAGTGGCCACAATTGATCATAACTACCATGCTATATGAATGTTGGCTACCGTAAATAAATATGGTTGTAAATTATTAACTTTACTTTAGTACTGCAACAATGTACTATAAAAAGTACTAAAATACATTATTCTTAACATTATTTTGATATGTTGTATAATTGCCAAATGGAGACAAAATATGTTAGAACAATGTTCTCTTAAGTGAAAGATTTTTATTGTAAAATCTTATAAAACCTGTACTCCATAGTAATGTAACAAAATTATGATTTATAATTTGCAACATACCGTTGATCTTGAGATTTGACAGCAGTAGACGAAGCTTTAGGTTCTATGCCTGATTTGGACATGATTATAAACTCATCTACTAAAGTAACAATAACAATAATTACTAAAATATATTGTGAAAATTAAAACACTGTAATTGATAAAACACCATTCTAATTAATAAGTATGTAAAACGTGCAGTAAAGTCGTCTATACTTGTCACTTGACAAATGACAAAACACTGTTTACCATTAACATTGAGCACAATATAAACATTAAATAGTAACAACTAAACTGACTTAAGAATTAAGAACTATATGGGGGACGTCTGGAAAGATATTTGAATTCCGAACGGTCGAGAATTCAAAACAAACGAAGATCGTTAACTATGAAAAACGGATTAAGATAACAAACACAATACCATGGCTATAGATACTATAACCGTGATTATAAAGAGGCTGTATCACTTATCACTAATAATTTGAATTATAAATTTTAAAAAACATGTTATTAATGATTGTAATTTTTACAATCTGAAACCACATTATATAGATATAAAATCATCAAATGCATATGCATGCGCCTAAAATTAAAATATTCAATTTAAACATAAAAAGAAAACACTAAAAACGCAAAATGAATCACTATCTTATGTTCCAAGTGTTTCAACGATTAATTGTACAATAATGTATTTTTTTATTCTAAGGCTCATTGTTCCAAGTTTTATTTAATCCGATGAATTTAAATCGCGTTTGTACAATCAAGTATTTTTATTACGCATTAGTGCATTCAGCATTACATTACGCAATATTATATTTTCGAAGTTAGGAACTTATAAAGTTATAACTAAATGAACTAATGTTTATTGCTACAATTGATAGTTGGAATAAACACAGGTAGACTATAGTGATTAGTATTTTCCGACATCAAGGTCGGATGGTGAATATAGCATTGGCATTATTTCATTTTAGCAATTTTGCAATGATCATTTCAGTGTTCAGTCTGACACTATTACACTGCTACACTTCACGTCCCTAATTTGTTGAAGTTAATTAATACATACTCATTTAAGTTTTCAAAAAAAAAGAAACGATTTAATTGAAAACTGCTGACGTATGATGTAAATTTAAACTATAATAGTATTTCCGTTGCTTTATTTTATTTTTCCCGGTTTATTTAAGCGGATTGATTTTTGGCTATTGAAAAATTAAATATTAATTAAATTATATATTTATATGTAAAAAGAACAATAATTTTTCATCGTTCGATTTCCGTTTATTTTGGTACAATAAAAATATTGACCGTGGTTACCTAGTTATAAATTATCGTCTGCATTTAATTACATTTTCAAAATATTTATAATAATTAAAATACCATACTATACGTAGGCAAGAGATAATCAGGTGTGACACATGATGCTTGCAGTAAGTTTTTACAGTTGTATAAATAATCAATAATTTATAGTATTTTTCCCTAGATAAATAAAAACAAAAAATGTACACAAGCTAATAAATAATATTTATTTTACAAATACGTAAATAAATATTATAATGAATAAATCAGTCTTACTTTAAATTTAGTGTATACTGTATACTTTTCAATTTAAATACATGATGCAGTCATAACTACTCACAATAAAGTATTTACAAATTTAATACACAAATTTATTTAATTAAATTGCTAGGAATCAATCAACTTTTTTGATGGTTAGTCCTCCGGAACGGAATCCATGAGGCATTAACATCGAAATGAGGGATATAACCGGCTTGTCCTGCACCGGGAATCGTCATCATTAAAGTTGAACAGCTATTTTGGATTATTTTAGTTTATACCACAAACTAAGATATAGGTATATATGTTAGTTCGTGATTTATATACTCATACATTGATACATACTCTTCTTTATCTGCTTATTGCTTGTTTTCCAACTATTGGACGACCGACCCTATCCCATTCTTACAATTTGTATACATTGTTAATATACAATAAGCAAATTTTATAAATGTACGATTTAGATGACGAAGGGGATGGATTCCTCCATGATTTTTTTTTATTTATATATTTTATACTTTATCCATTATAGCATTGAGAGTTGTGGGTGAGTTGCGGTCCGACGTGTCGTTTCCAGTGTTGGAGACCGGTAATTTGCGGCCCGATAACATTTTAGGTGTAGGTTAGTTGTGGCTCAAGTGAATTATCATTACCCAAGTTGGATATACATAGCGATAAACGAATGACGGTAAATGAAATGTTCTATACGTTTGAGAAGTTATATTTTTATATAATACGATATCTCAGATTAATAAAATAAGATGTAGAGCAGTTACCCATGTGACTTTTATTTGTGAACAAATCCGTCTTCACGTTGTTGCCGCAGACTCGGCTTCGTTATCTTCTTTTATCGCGCTAAGTCTGTACGGTCACGTTAAAACCATCATATGTCTGATCGGTTTCTTATGCTGTACTATCGTACTCGTGCTCAAGTTGTAGGAGCCTCATGATTAAACATATATTCATGTATTTTTATAGCACTTTTAATTTGATTTTGTTGAGAGTACCTATATGTATATGTACATAGGTATACATTAATGTATGGCCGCAATTCGTACGTACCACTTATAAACCCGGGCCGCAACTCATTTACACCGGTATTGAGTATACAATATACATACTCAATATTTATAGTCATTATACCGATGACAAAATAATTGTTGAGTTATAGGAGTAGATATAATCATAGATAAAATATATTTAATCTATTATAGAGTATACTAATTTATAAAATATAATTAGAAAATGGCAAACATTTTGGGTAGGTATTAATATTTTTATCAAACGCATAATTAAGAAATAGGCAAATCGAGCAAATATATTTTCTGAAGGTAAGACGATTCAACCTGAAATTACTATAAAAGTACCATATCGATACCATACATTAATTCTTTTATAATTAATTTAAAAGAAAAGTTTCATGTCCAGTTTTCCGAAAAAATATTTACGAAAATTAACTAGTTTTTTGAGGAACGTTTTATTAAAAAAAAAAAAAAGGAATATCCATATTCAGATATTCGATATTCAAAGTTACCTTAATTTTCAAAGAAAATATTAGTTGTAAATTTGTATTATAAAATTTTAATTTTAATTCCAAAAATACACGAGACGCAATTTACACTAAAAAGGTAAATTGAGACGTAATTTTCAGTCACCCTCGTAAATCTATAAGATAATCAGTTTAGTTCGTGTTGTAACACATTTGAATGTTTTTAAGAGACGTTAAATTATATTATACCTAATTTAAATAATAGAAATAAAAAAAAATTTTAATTTAACATATTTTTCTATATTTATATATATTTTTTTAATTTGGATTAGATTGTGACATATATTATTGATTTATTATTATAGTTGTGTGTTATTAAGTTTACTATAATTTTAGATTTATGTATTAATTCAGTGTAAAAAGTATGTGGAAAACCATAAACGACGTATATACATAATAGCAATTTGTGGTAGGCATAAATTGCATGTGACAATGACATGAAGAAACGTGCGGTAAACCGCATACGATAAAAATTCCTAACTTTTGATATAACATATTACCATTGTCTATTATTACCTATACCTAGAGAGCCTAGATAATAATTATCTATATATCTATACATTATTAAGGCATTTTACCTATAGGTACTTACCTATTTGAAAACTCCATCATATATTTATAGAATTAATTTTTTATTTAGAAAATTAACAACCTATGCTTAGTTACATTTATAGTATAATAAAATAATATGTACAAATTTTTACAAAAATAGTATGAACATAAACAAAATAAACAAAATTTTATACTTGGTCAAAGGTATGAGTAAGGATGACACCTGTCCTGGTGTCTGGTGATGGAATCAAAGGTGTAGATTATTATGTTCAATCATTGATTACCTATTCTTTAATCAATGATTTAATGTTGTATTTTTATGTAGGTACTTGTAAGTTGTAGTAAATTGGACTTTTAGAGAGATACTATTATTAACTTAAAATTGAAATTCAGTTCACATGTCTATCTGATTAGCAAATACAGAAATACACATCAAATCTTTATTACCTAGCTATACTTATCTACACTACCCATATCAGTTGATTTTTTAGACATTTTTTTTTTCTTTTAATTGTGTTCTTGCATTATTGTCACTAAAATATTAAACTGCTCATTAAAAATAAATAAATGAATTGTTAATGAATTAATAAACTTGAATAAATATGAGTAAATAAATTAATAAATAATAATTCCCAAAAAATTGGGTAGAGTCAATTCCTGGAAGGGGAAGATGCAGATGGAAGGTACCTAGATGTCAATTTTAATTATCATTGGGGACAAAGTGATAGGAAACATTTTTTTTACGTCTAAAGGCACATTGTTATATCTAAAACATCTTGAATTTTTTTCTTTCAAAAATCGTATCCATATCTGCCTATTAAATATTATCTAATGTCACTAATGAATACCTAATGGACTGTTTCTTTTATTTTCTTATCCTGCCTTTAAAATGTTATCCACAAAATACATCAAGAAAAAAAAAATCATCTCTTAGTTAGTGATTGATAGGAACATTTATGATCGTGGGATTCACATTTGCAGATTAACTGTTAGATTAGAATTGTGTGTTCAAGTATAGATCAAAAAATTATAGATTCTTGAACCATTAAAAACTTAATCAGGTCATCTTTCAAGTTTCAATATATTATATAACTGGCAGAAGTCTGAAATAAAAATAACCATTAATATGTGTTAATTGCACAGTATCATTTTTATATGTCGAAACAATTACATGAGCTAATGTAAATACCTATATTGTGTAAAACGAATAAAACAAATTTTAATAAGTGGTCCAAAAACTATTGAAAAAGATTGCGCTTAATAATTAGTACAGTATATTAAACATTTTATTACATTAAAAATAAATGAACATAAACAAATTACAGTATCATACACCTATAACCAAAGATCATATAAATTGAACGATTAAGTACCTATTTATATAAAAAAAAAAACCAGATAATCAGTCTATTAAACATATAACAGTATGATAAACTATTAAAATATTAAAGACATTTATTTTTATATATACTTTATAAATTATAATATAATATAAGTAATATTATAATAAAAATTTTAAACAAAACAAGTAAATAACTATCAAAAAATGTTATACTATGCATATTACATTAAAAATAATTGCAAAATGAGTTATGCTATACTAGTGTTATGCATAGGTACACACACAATATTACATAATACCAATGGATATACTATATTCAAATTTACAAAAGATAAAATTTCTTAGTTCTGATAACAAGAAATGAGCATTTATACAATAAGAAGAATAACAATACATTTTATTTTAATCATATTAT